TCTTAACCAACGCGCCACTCGGCCGGCCCACAACATATTTGTTTTTAAAGGTCCTGAGATTGGACAGTCTAATAACAGTCTAGACTAGACTAATACAGTTATCGATCTCAAGAGGTTTACATGTTCGAAGGAAGAATTCCTATTACTGTGAAATAGTTCCAAGGAGCCTTCAAGACTGGAGCAAAGCAGGGGGTTGCATTTTGCAATTCAGTGTCATCGACTTCAAAAGCTTACAGGTTTTGCTCCGACCAAGGATATGTGACCAAGTTCATGTATGCTGAGACACAGCATAATGGATGTATTTTGCTATATAGACAAATAAGCATTCTGAGCCAGTTTCTCTGAGGGAGGGAAAGACTTGGTAGTATGAAAGTTTAATCTTTTTTTTTTTTTTTTTACTACACATCCTGTTGTTTTTCAAGAGTGAAAAAATCACATCTTCATTATTTCAGTCCCCAAGGGTGCTTGGAAGAGCCCACACTGCCGTTGTGCTTTCCCATAGCTATACAGATGTAGGCGAGAGACTTCTGAATTCCCTAGGAGACCAGATCGGTCCAGTGTCTTGAAGGATTCGCGGTCCCGCCACCTGCTCCAGTCTGTGCTGCCTCCAGACCTCAGGACAGAGGGTGACCTGAGAGGTGAGTGCAATGAGCTTCTATAGACAACACAATGGGCTGCAACAAGGAGCCCTTTGATCTTGGGTTACTCCTTGGTTTTGTGCACTTTCTAGAGCAGCTAAAGGCACATGGTTTCAGTTTCACCAAGTCAAGGAGGAGAAAGAGAAGGGGAGCAGACTGGATGGACGATGAACACAGAAGAAAATTATCTTTTTAACAAAGTAGTCTTTTTTGCTGCCTCGGCAAATGACTTTTGTGAAAATATTTACATGAAAAGCAATACATTGTTTTGTTTTTACTTAGTTACCACTATCATTAAGTTTCATTAGGCAAATGGGAATTCACAATAAAATGAAAACACACAGGATCAAGGGTTATGTACAATTTTGTGATTAGGGTGTTTTGTAATTCAGGCAATGTGCTGCCAGGAACTCATCTTGAGTTTCTATTCCAGTTGCTGCAGATGCTATTTGAGGAAGCAAGGAATACATGGATGAAGAGAAAAATAAGTGTCACTGGGCTAAATAATGAAGACTATTACAAAGAATATAAATAATAAATTTATAATGTATTGCAATACAAATAAGCAGTATTTTTAGTATAAAAATTGCATTTGCACAAAGAAGCTATTTAGTAACAAATACAATTAAACCATATTGGAAACACGTTAAAGTTGTATGAGTCACATATATACAATGTCACAGTTAACGTGAAATGTCACTGAGAATAAGCCATTTGAAGGCCATCTCCTGGTCTGAAGCCATCAAAGAAGGGCCTTTCAACTGGACCTCCTGGTTCAGGAATGCTGTTTCAACAGATGCCCCATGAGGATTCATCAGACGTGATGACTCCACATTTGGTTTTTCAAAACAAGCTATAATCCTCGTAAGGATCAAAATGCAGGACTGAGGTAATGAGATTAAACAAGGAGGAACTTTTCCGTTGGCACAAAATATTTACATGAATACTTTCCAAAATGTTATTACTGACAGGATGGGTCAACCACACATTTATAATACTGGCAGAAATAACCTCAACACTGAGATAAAGGACAGATAAATATCGATACACATTAGCAAAAGCATCCATCTCCTTTTTTTCTCTCCCTTCATGTTAATTTAAGGCTGTATGCCAAAATCTCAGGTGTACACTATCTTTTCTACCTTTTTTTCTTTTTGACTCTTTAATGTTCCCCATCCTATAAAGCAACATAACAAGCTCCACTCTTGAAAGACTCGGTCATAAGAAGTCACATGCTAAGTAACTGCCTTACAGTAGTACATTTTTATCACCTACCCCAAAGGTGTTAAGAGGGTGCAGGCTCTGCGGGCTTACATATTCCCAAAATCATAGCAACACCATAGCTATCAGCAAGGGTTTGGGCCATAGAAAAAGTCAAAATTTGGCTTTCTCCAGGGTCAAAACCAACCTGGACAAAGCTTGTTTCCTTTTTACTACAGTAGTTATTTAGAATGGCTTTATGTAGAGAGGCCCGTGGCTACCAGGGATCACATACATGAGATCGGGCAGCAAGTGCACGCCCACGCAGTGAGCCTTCAGCCCACTCAATGCTTACACTTCAAAGGGAAAAAAAGATGTGGGATTGTCTATCAATATGCAATCTCTAAGCAAGCTGGGATGGGGTAGCAGATCTAGCAAGAGATGAACAATAAAAGAAACTAAGAAAAAGGGAGCTGGAAGTTTCAACCTTTCCTTGTTATCAAGGAAAAGGCACCCTGTACCAACATTCTAAAACCCAGTTACTTTTATTTTATTTGCCTAATTTTGATCTATACAGAATACTATTATGTAATTAAATAACTGATACTGCAATACAGGGAAGCATGATTTTTTTTTTAAATCAAAATCATGTTTCCATGCACTTGACTTCTGGAATAAATATATTATCTATAAGAAATGTTCATAAAATCCTACTGAAATAATCTAATTTCAAATATTTTAGGTTGACTTTTTCCTTTAGTTTTATATTCAATGAGTGTTGAAAACAAATCTAAAGCTTCAAATACAAAGAAATGAAATTAGATGTGTACTTTTCAGACTATTTAGCAAATAATCCCATTTTTGCCAGAATGTTAAAAAACAAACAAACAACAAACCAGGGAAATGGTTCCCATAGCCAGACACAAACTTTTAATGAATCTTCTTCTCTAAGATGTTTTTCTCACCTCACTTCAATTTTTTTGTTTTTTTAGTATTTTTCAGAAAGAAAATAGATTTAATAAAAAAATTATATCATTCGGTAGGTACTCTTTCGGGTCCAATTGGAAATTGGCCTTACATTTATGAAAAGCCAACATAGATCTTATTTCTTCATTCCCTCCCCTCTAGTCAAATGCCTCACTTAAAAAAAAGAATATTTTAATATGAGGGAGGAGGAATTATACAGAAAAGCCAAACTACGAAACATTTCTTATTCCATACCTCTGAACTTGAACTTAATGACCTTTGAAAACTTGCTTCAGCTGACTAAGAGAAAGCAATCCAGTGACTGGGGGAGGCCCAGCTCAGCAAGAACCGGAAAGCTTCCTGGTATGGGGGTGGGGTGGGGGAGGGGGTGGGGGGGATAGAGCTGCCACCATCAGAATGATGGTGCTCTGGGTGAGGGTGTCAGAGAACTACATGTGGGGAGAGACAGGAAAGAAGTAAAAGCCAAGATTTTCCCAACCCCTCAAATTTGAGGCCATGTTGCTTAAAAACTATTGGTGACTCTTAATGACCCTCACCATACTGGGGGATGTGACTGTCAAGTAACTGAGTTGGAAAGATGAAAAATAGCCACCTCTAAAAATTGGATTCTTACAGAATAAGAACTCCCTTTGTGTGAGGTTTGCAACAGGCTCATACAAGCATAGGAGGACAGCAAGTTTCAGGACCTCCCCCGTCCTGCAGTGATCCCGTGTTCAAAGTTAATACAAGGAAAGGGTTATCTAAACAGCCAGATAGGAGTGTACTGCATATTTCTTTTTAAAAATGACAGAAACTTTCTGAATTTCATAAACCTGTACTACTTATTATTCTGTCTGAACCCAAGAGGTGTAGAATCAACTTTAGTCATCTTTCATAAGCTTGGAATCTAATTTTACGAATTTATTCTAAGACATAAATCAGGTAAGGCAGAAGTAGACGGATGAATTTTTAAAAAGATATTGGGCCCCCTGGGTACATTTAGTAGATTGAGTATTGAGAGATTTACAGGGATAAAATTCTTCACAAGATTAAGGAAGAAGGAAATGAAACCAAATCTTTCATTCCAGATATTCACTTTCATTAATTCTTTCATCAAAAGCACATCTCTAAAGAGAAACCAGAAATGGTTTTTCAGTTATTAAAGTGGTTCAAGACCAGGGAACCCCTTGAGATGGAAACAAAACAACACAGCGTTCAAGTTTTCTTCACAAGACTACCTTGTGCTGGCAAGACTTAGGAGACTTCTGGGTTTAAGAGGAATATTGCTAAAGGAACTTTTTGGAAAAAAAAAGTTATTACATTTTGGCAAAACACGGCAAAACCCTCTCCTGTAAAATCCCTACTTCCTTTTCAATCTCCAAAGGTGACAACATTGCATTCGAGAGGCTTGGCTGTCACAGCTTCATGGGCTGTGGTTCGTACCCATCTAAACCCTCAAGTCGGGTAAACATGGCTGATGCAAACCCGGCTGCTTTCACTCACTAAGGAAGTATTGTGAGGAGTGTGGGGAGCCTGGGGCCCACGGCAGGAAAGCTGGAAATGTTAAAGGTAAGAAATAAAACAAAGGAGATTTAGAGTCACAGTGACTTCCAAGCTCTTTTCTACAGTACTAACCAGGGCTCTCTCAATTTCTACCTCTAGAAATGTGTCCCTGGGCCATGGTGCCTGACGTTTCTCAGTTTGATAAAAACACTTAACCCGGGAAGAGGAAGCAAGCTTCTGCCGCACCTGAGGCTGCTCAGGCCGCCTTGCTGCGCCTGCAGCCTTGTGGGCAAACAGGACTCAGGCGGGCTGGGCTTGCTTCCTCTGCTCGAAACCCTCTAGCCCCAAGGACATGAACTCGTGCCCATCGCAAGGCCCCAGACAGAGCCTAACACCATGTTTGTTTTATGTATTCTGATTGTCATGCCTGAAAGTCTCATGAATATACATTAGGCTTAATGCCATGACACTACATGACTAGAGATCATTTTTTAGAAGCTTGCTTACTCAGGAAAAAAAACAAGGATTTGGTTTAAACTGCAGACCGGAGGGAAGCTGACATATCCCTCGGGTCTATGTTCTTGGGAACGCTGCCATTGAACCTATGGTCCCTTGTCGGCGTGCTGACTTTTGCGCTGCCTCAATGCGTCTTCAGCCGCCGCTGTGCCAGCTGAATGCCGGGGCTGCTCAGGGACGTCTTCTTCAGTCTCATCAGGTTCTCCTTCCCCCTGGGCGTCCCTCAGGGGCCTCTGGTCCTGGCTGTCACTCCGCTCCTCATCCAGGCCAACAGCTGGGCTGTCGTCCTCCTCTTCTTCCTCCGCTTCATCCTCATCACCAAAGTCATCTTTCTCTTCTTCGTCATCTACAAGGCTGTCCTTGTTTTCTTCTTCATTTGAGTCATCTTTTTCCTCCTCTGCATCCTGCAACTGTTCAGCCCCATGAGCCCCCTCTGACCTCCGACTCTGCTCTGTGGAGGGAAAGAGAAGATCCTCAGAATAAACAATGGTCATTCGACAATCAAGGGGTATGTTTAGCTGTGAAATGAAAAAAGGGGGCACCTAACAGCGTTCTCCATCTTGGAGCTGTTATTACACAGGACAGATCTCTGGTTGGTGTCCTAGCTCCATCCAGGGCTTCTCCGTCCCTCTCTGGAGATTTCACTGACGATGTTGACTTTGGCAGAGCATGTGGGCAGGGAGGGCAAAGGTTCCCTCATGCTTTGTGTTTTGGACCTTGTAGAAGGCTCAGTGACCCAATCACCTGATGTCATGGCAATCGGTTCACCATGTGACTTAAGCTGAGCCAATCAGAGTACTCCCCAGCAGTTTCCGGCCTGAGTCAGGAGGAAAAGCTTTCTCTCTACAGGGATGCCTACTGCTGTTGACAGCCACTGAATCAGTCACATGGAAACAAAATCTAACATCCCTTGGGCTGTGCTTAAAGCCAGAACTTCCCTGGACTTTTCAGTTACGTGAGCTAATAAATTGCCTTCCTCCCTCCAGGTTGCTTTAAATTGGGTTTCTGTTACTTTTAAGAATTCTAATTACACTCATGTGCTGCATAATGACGTGTCAATAAACAATGTACTGCATATCTCACAGTGGTCCTAGAAGATTATAATGGAGCTGAAAAATTCCCATTATAGCTGTCATAACGTAGCAGCACAATGCACTACTCATGTGTTTGTGGTGATGCTGGTGTAAAAAAAACTGCGCTGCCAGCTGTAGAAAAGCATAGCACATACACTTATCGTAGTAGACTATACCATCTATGTTGGTGTAAGTGCACTCTATGATGTTCATACAAAGACCTAACGACAAAATTGCCTGATAACACATTTCTCAGAACACGTCCCTGTCATTAAGTGGTGCATGGCTGTATCAATGGAAGTCTCAAGCCTTGAAAACTTCAAGTGCTAAAAAGAAATATAACCTTGTTTAAACTCCCATGTAAAATTCAACAAGTACAGTCTCATTAAAGTCTTCATGCAAATGCTCAAAAATAAGAATAAAAACATGCAAATCCAGGGTTATTTGGTCTCAGAAACTGTGCAACAGTGCAAAGATTGGGGGAGTCTGCTTTTAAAGGACTTAAAACAGTTACTGGTACACAGCAGAAACTTACTCAATAAACGTGAGCTCCCTTCCCTCCCTTAAAATATTCCCTAATTTAAGAGAGGCAAAAAGAGAACTGTTGTTCAAGTCTATCTACAGAATACATTTCAAGGAATTTGGTACTGGTGATGGTATGGTAACCAAGCAAATCAGGAGGAAAATCCACCGCCTATATGAGCACGAAAGGGCACATCACAGGATTCCAAATACTCTATTGTGTGAGTTTATCATACTTACCAGAATGTTCAGATAAATGCCTTGGAAATGGCACATAGAAACATTCTGATATTACCACCAAGATCTGGAGGGAAAAAAACAGTGATTTTATAGTGAGTAGATAGGATATTTATTACCAAAGAACCTCAAAATGAGGCCTTGCTTCTGTAACCAGATATTCATAGACAAATAATTAGCAGTTGGTCAAAAGTCCTCAAAAAAGAAAAGGGTATAACTAAGAATTTCCTATTTTTAAAACATGATACAATATAGGAAAATACTATTAATTGAGAAGAGGGGTTTCAAATGTCAACAGCAAGCCCACTAAAAATAGACGAATCAAGGAGGTATAAGGAAATAGACACTATTAGCCAAGTCTAAAATGGCCTTTTATTTTTTTATTTATTTTTATTTTATTTTGTTATTTTTTTGGTCATTTATTAAATTTATTGGGATGACACTGGTTAAATTATATATATTTCAAGTGTACATTTATATAAAACATCATCTATATATAATATTGTGTGTTCACCACCCAGTAAATTCTTCCATCACTATACATTTGACCCCCTTTCCCCTCTTCTACTAGCCATCCTCACCCCCTTACCCTCTGGTAACCACTAACCTGTTGTCTGTGTCTATGAGTTTTTGTTTCTTGGTTTGTTTATTTGTTTGCCGCTTTCACAGTTTTATATTCCACATATGAGTAAAGTCATATGGTTCTTGACGTTTTCTAACATATTTCACTCAGCATGATAATCTCAAGATCCATCCATGTTGTCACAAATGGAGTATTTCATCTTTTTTTATGGCTGAGCAATATTCCATTGTATGTATGCACATCTTCTTTATCCAATCATCTATTAAAGACACTTTGGTTGTTTCCATGTCTTGGCCACCATGAATAATGCTGCAATGAACATTGGGTACCTATATCTTTATGGGTATTTTTTCTTGTTTTTTTTTTTTTTTTAAGATTTTTATTGTGGAATTGGGGGATGGGAACAGCGCAGGGGAATTGGGGGAAGGGGAACAGACAAGCTGCTGTCGTGTTTGTTCTCCTGTCTAGTTGTGGAGGACGTTGCTTCACTGGCCCAAGTTGGCACCATCAGTGCGCTCTTCCCAGGCAAGGCAGATCAGTCGCCGGCTTCTGGACGGCCGCTCACGCTGGCTGCTGGCCACACACAGTAGCCCATGGCAACCTACGCTGTCGCCTGCGACTCATGGCAGCCCAGCTCCAGGTTGAGCTGTTGTTCAGCATCTTAGCTGTAGAGGGCAGCGTCACTGGCCCTCATATGTGGGATTCGAACTGGGGCCCTCTGGCGTCCCAAGCCAGCTCTTAACCAACGCACCACTCAGCCGGCCCCGGATAAATGTTTTTAGATTTTGAGGGGTAGATACCCAGAAGAGGGATTGCTGGGTAATATGGTAATTCTATTCTTAATTTTTTGAAGAACCTCCACACTGCCTTCCATAGAGGCTGCACCAATCTGCATTCCCACCAACAGTGTACGAGGGTCCTTTTACTCCACAGCCTCTCCAACACTTGTTATTATTTGTCTTGATGATAGCCATCAACAAGACAAATAGTAAAATAGCCTTTTAAAAAAACACTCTTCTAGACAAATAAAATTCGTCTGTCCATGGGCTGCCCCTCAAAAATAAGTAGGAATAGTACTTTATACATTAGTGTTTTAAAGCTATTCTAAAATGTTAAAGAACTCAGTCATAGTCCTTTTGATTCAATTTTAAAACATCAAATGAGTATACTACTTTGTGTTCAGGACTATTACCATCCGTATTTTCATTTATTACTTTACTTGATATTTGGTTCATTAGGTTCAAGGTATCGTGTTAACATCTGGGGGGGCAAGGTTCAAAAAGAGAAACAAACAGCAGTTTAATTATAAAGCAATATGGAACCTGCATTTCATAAGAAAAGTGAGTAAAGCACTGAGGTAGCTAAGAGATACAGAGATGAGCATCAGTGATGGAACTGGGAAGGATCAAGAATGACAGCTGGCCGGCCGAGTGGCTCAGTTGGTTAAGAGCTCGCTCAAGAGTTTGAGCTCTGAGCAACAGCGGTTCGATGCCCGGCCCGAGCTGAGCTGCCAACAGGTGGCAGGATGGCTCAGCTAAAAACAAAACAAAACAAAAAAAAGAATGACAGCTTGCAGAAGGCACACTTAAGGCCCTGGGCATAGCCACGAGAAGCTGAGTGGCATTAGCACCAGATGTCTGGTTCCTCTAAGCTACACTAGACTGGATCACGGGGGCCCTTGGATTGAGAGAACACTGTGAGTGCCAGGCTACAGACACCCACGCGGCAGGGCAATGGGATGCACAAGGTCCTGTGGGGTCGGGAGGCGCAAGCTCCAAGCCGTTCAATTGATTTGAAACCACAGAGGAAAACATTTCCATCTGAATAGACTGAGATTGAAAACCTACATTTTTAATGTGATAGTCAAATGCTTATTTGCTAGCTATTCCTAGGACATAATATTTTTGTAACTTTTTGTTTGTTTGTTTTCATTTTTCAATGCAACCTGGAGGGGAAATGCCAGGGGCAAGAAATACTGGCAATCACAACAAATGGGGGCGGGGAGAAAGGCCTGCCTGAGATGCACCTTGGCCATCTAGAGGCTGGGTAAGGCAGGGGGCCTAGAAGAGACTTCTAGGACTCTAGTCTCAACTTTGTCTCTCGGTAGCTGTGTGACCCTGGACAAGTCACTTAACTGCTCTCTCACTTGAAAGGATGGGTTTGGGCTAGCCTCTCACCGAGGTCTGTTTTATGTCTAATAGTACATAATTCCATTATATACTCTTTCTTTTCAGAAACTGGGAGTAAAACCTCTCATTCTCTCATATTCTCTCAGTTCCAGATCTGCTTTCTGGTCTGGAGAACATTCCCTTGGCATGGTGCCACATTCTGAGCCACTGAGAATGGCATTGTTTAATAACAAGTGTCTATCGGGGAGCAGTCCCTTGCTCATCATCTTCCCTGCAGGGATTCTATTTTCAGGTTTCAGCTTTGACCCAAGAAGGCGCAGATAACCACACCGCTAAATGAAGAGAGTAGAGAGATTTACTGTCTTTCATGGACAGTAACGTACCTCCTAATACTGGGGCTCCCCCTCTGTGGGAGGCTCTGTGCTAGGTACCGGTCAGCAGCATGTAGAGAAATAAGCTACCTAAGCAACTACATTTAGACAGTGTCTATACCAGCTGAAATGGAGACCAGGTCACAGAGGCACAACATTGCTGCCTGTGTTTCCACTGCTCATCTGCAGCTTTGTTCTCTTTTGTCCAGAGCAAAGTCGCTGATGGCAGAAAGCAATGCTGCCAGATTGATCTGATATATAGACTATGCAGTTAAGGGTCTTTTCCATTAGTTTAAAATACAACTATATACTTGATTTCTAAACCTGAGCCCTTTGTTTACATGTGAAAAACAATTTAGTAAGATATTTCAGCCATCACTAGGTGGGCCAAAAAAGTAAACAAAAATCAAACTAGCAGCCTTGTTTTGACTTCCCATTTTTCAAAATTAGGAAAAATTAGAAAACCTAACAGTCAGACTTATGGGAAACAATGACTTCATCAGGAAATCATTTCTCTACAAAAACATCCTGCACCCTCCTCCCCACGAGGCCACTGCATACATTAAACTCCATAGGGACTCACAGAGGGAAGGAGAACCTCCAGTCTCCAGGGTCAAGCTTCACATGACTGCATGCCTGGGCTCTACTTCCAGCCCCCAGTAAAGGGCAAAGGTAACACAGAGCACTGGCTGAACTGCACACCTGGAGACCTCACTGAAGGCAAAAATTCCAGCTGTTGAGTTTCTTTTAATACATATTACAGTTGTATTGGTTTGTCAGAAAAGTCATGACATAGTTTTTTTATGTTTTTCATTGCAAAAATGCGTCATGACTTTTCCGACAACCCAATAGAAAAGGTATTTAGCAGGTATTTTTATGCTATTTTATGGGAATGTATTAAAAATGTATGAGTCTATTACTGTTTTAAAGTTATTATTATTTTGTTAAATAAAGTTCTCTTCCCAACTTCATATAAAGGAATAATGTTCTATATCACTTCATCGTTTGAACAGTCTGGAATCAACTCTCTTGTTTAGTCAAGCCTCTACTAACCTTCATACACTGATTATTTGAATCTAAGTTTCCAAATGAACTTAGAGCATAGGCAGGACTGACATAATTTCTTGGACTTAAAGTCAACCTCAAAGATGAAATTCTAAAACTCTTTATGCTGAGAAAAATAGTTTTCAATGGTCTTCCAATAGGTTCACACTCAACCTATATTCTCCATAACTCCACCTCAGAGTCTCCCAGGATCTCATACTATTCCCACTATAAGAGCCTCACACTCGTGGCTCCAAAATGCACTGCTAGAAAAGTCTAGCACTAGGGAGTAGATGGGAGGAGTACATTTATATCCAAAGTCAAATTTATACCCAAAGTCAAATCCTTTCTGGCCAGAGCATTAAGGACATGTTAATAACAATAAGATTAATGCATCAGAAGGGAACACACCTAGGACCTAATGAAAGACAGACACATCATATGCCCCATGATGTTAATATCAGCAGTCAAATCTCAAATACAAACCATAACATGAAGAAAGCATGTTCATGGCAAAATAAAATCAAGCTTCCTTGGCTTTGTGGAATATGACTTTGTTGTACTAAGTTATGATTTGTTATGAAGGCAACTGCTAATATTTTAAGCTTGTTTTTAAAATGACATTACTAAAGAGTGTAAGGGGAGAGGGAGGTGATAGATGAGGGTAAAGGGGATCAAATATACGGTGATGGAAGGAGAGCTGATTCTGGGTGGTGAACACACAATGTGATATATAGATGATGTATTACAGAACTGTACAACTGAAACCTATGTAGCTTTACTAACAATTGTCACTCCAATAAACTTCAATTAAAAAAACAAAAAAACAAAATTCATTATAAAATGTAAGGACAGATTTTTAAGATAATCTTAACTAAAAGTTTGTCCTTTTTATATAAATTTTTAGTAATCATTCATTAGTCCTATCATATAGCATTGAGATGTTATTTGATTAATATGTAGTATAATGGCTTTTAAGAATTTATCTTAATTATTGGGTTGTCGGAAAAGTCATGACGCATTTTTGCAACAAAAAACAGAAAAAATACATCATGACTTTTCCAACAATCCAATAGTTTAAAGCTCACTCAAACTGATCATGTGTAAGTAAAGAGAAAGATTAAAAAATTATATCAAAGAGAAAAACATGCCAAAATACTTATAATTGCCTATATAGTTAAGTAAATAAATTTATTATTGCAACTCTTACCTAAAACACCGAGGGAGAAAACGCAGATACCTACTAGATACTGATTGTCATACCCAAAGAAGACACAGTGATGTGCTTTGCATCTTTTCCTTTTTTCACAATATTGATTTTTTTTTTTAATCCACATTAATTTGTAAAATCCACCTTGGGGATACCAGGGTGTATGTATAAGCAGTTGGCCAGGACTGGAGGTTTAATTAAATGATATGAATAAGAAAAAAATCACCGTGTTCATTCAAGAAACCAATTCATAGCTTTGGCCTTGTTGCCACAATGTTCTAAATGAGTAGGAAATGTGTATGAAATCATAGATGACTCAGCTGTACTGGAAACTATCAATTCAAGTAAGGTCTATTTCTTCTGTCATCACTGCCTACATTTTGGGAAGCACATATCTTCAAAATATTTAAGGGACAGGATTAGGAGATAATAATTGAATGACTTTTCCATTATATCTCAAATTACCACTGAAAGCTGTATCAAACAAGCAAATAATACTTAGCTGCTCAGATGACACACAAATGCTGTTTGTTTATGTGCTTTTCCTTTCTTGGCTGCTTTCTAATTTTGCATGAAACCTGTTTGGCTTTAAAGACATGAAAAAAGATTGGCATTATCTCTTACCAGACCCATGAGAAGGCCAAAAATCAAGGTGGCTATAACGAAAAAGACATAAGAACACCAAGCAGGAATTCCAAGGGTCACTGTGAAATAGTTGTGAAGATGCTGTAATCAGAAGAAAAAACAATTACTTATATTGAGGAACAAAAACGTTTGACTCTCTCTCTCTAGCTATAACTCAAGTCTGCAAATTGTTTTCACATATAGGTGCTCCCACAAATTTTACAACATTGAGAATCCGAGAGTAATACTCAAGGTTTTATCTAGTAGAGTCACATATCTTGGAAGTTCATGATCCGATAGAACTCCAGTAGAACCGTTTTTTCTAGTCTCTCCTTCCATGATGATTTTATTTTTTTTGGTCACTCTCCCCTAATAACTATACTACCTCAGTTTTTCCTCATAATATGGCATCCATAAAAAATTAAACTTGGGCCGGCCAAATGGCGCAGTTGGTGTGAGCGGGAGCTCTGAGCAACAGGGTCGCCGGTTCAATTCCCATATGGGCCAGTGAGCTGCGCCTGAGCTGAGCTGCCACTGAGCTGCCAACAGGTGGCAGGATGGCTCAGCTGGTGAAAGCGCGTGCTCATAACAACAAGGCTGCCAGTTTGATTCCTGCATGGGAGGGTGGGCTGCACCCCCCCCACACCCCAATTAGATAGAAAGCAGCAACTGGACTTGGAGCTGAGCTGCGCCCTCCACAACTAAGATTGAAGGACAAAAACTTGACTTGGAGCTGATGGGTCCTGGAAAAACACAATGTTCCCCTTCCTCAGTTCCCCAATAAAAATCTTAAAATAAAAAAATTAAACTTGGGCCCTGACCAATTCTGAAGTAGAACTAAATAACTACTTACAGAACACCAACCATTAAAAATGTCTCCATACTCCCTTTATCTAGTTGGACTCACATTGCTCCACCCCTACCCATTCTTGACACCTTTCCTAAATCACCATAAAACCTAAAATGTCATATCAGACAGAAGAAAGTTATTCCAGTTAATTCATTATAAGGAAATGATATTTCTATCAGGCTTTGAGTAGAGTGTGCATTCCTTTAGGCTTACTGTTCCCTGGAACTCTATTTAATACCAGAGACTAAAAAAATGAGTAAGCGATACAATCTGAGCTAGAAATTATTCCCAAGCTGAATCACACAGGAAGTACAGATATGAACTGGTATTTCAGAGTCAAAGCCCACTTAGATGAGGACCTGCAGGAACAATGCTTCTCAGGATTGTCTAGTGATGACTGGTTTGCGGCCATGACACCTTCAAAGACAGTCATTCACTATCATCTGAGCAATAACTGGGCACAAGATGAAATGGCCCCAAGCTAAACGCCACTAGCAGGCAGAGATCGGGACCAAATGACCTGCCAGAACAGGTGAGATAGCTGAAAATGAGTCCAGGTTTCCATTTCAATTTAATATTTTTCAAAATCTAAATTACTCACGCGTCTCCCATTGGTTTCTCAGTTTATAAATGTAAATACAATTAAATAATATATTTCATTCTGGCTTAAGTCTGAATGGTAAATAAAAAAGTTTGTTTAACTGATTTAGAATAATCTGAGATCTCCTCTAGCTAATTTCGTATTCAGCAGAAGAGATAGATCTAAAGACTCAGCAAGTATTTTAAACACTGACACATGTAATCAAAGTGTTTAATATTTGTTGGGTGAGGAAAAGATACTAGCAAATCCTTCAACTACGCACAGGAAATGCAAACAACTCTTGATTTGTAAAACTGTCATTTGTCCTTTTATTGACTGTACTGTTAATGATTTTGTCTTTAGCCAGGGCAATTGTTTACTAAGAACAACCCAGTATGCTGGAACCCAGCAGGCAAAAGAGGGATAGGGATACCAAAATGTTGTTTCATTCAAACTCTTTTCAATGGAAGTTCTAAAATGTACTGCACAGGTCCCTACTTTAGAAAACTGTATGTATTGAACAGAGTTGATGCTTTTCTTGATAACTCAATACCGTCATCAGGATTAAATTTTGAATGTGCAAAGAATTAGAAGATACAGCAAGCTAGTCTGCCTTAGTGCTGACTCATGAATGTACAAGTATGTATGCTGGAACTTGCTGTATAAACTATACCTGCCCGTTTGCTTCATTCATATGGTTACAATGAGTAATGGGCAGCTATAAATCCTTCTAGATGGCATCTTACGTTCTTTCCGCAAAATAAATGATTAAAGTAACCCTTAAGAAACTTCCTATTTTCTAGAGTGCTGTAAATTATTTCCCATTCTGTCACTGCATTCTGAGTCATCCACTTCTTTGCAAATTCAAAACACCCTCTGATTTTAATAAGTTCCACTTAAATTTTCTTATATCAACTTACACTTCAAATTTGAGCTTCTTCAAGAAACCCTGCCATCTTGTGGTCTTTTAGGTGATTATTACTAAAGTCTCATTAATCAAGTTGTGTTTTTACAAATGCAGACATAAATCTTTATCTGTTGGCTTTATCTGACTCCACAATGTTTTAGAGTACCCTAAGAGTGCTAGGGTTCCTGGTATTAAGTACTGGAAGTTTTGCTGTATATATGTTTCTGGATAATCAGTGATTAAAACTGATCTAATCCAGTTGTAGATTTCTCTGTTTCTATTTCTTTAGTTGCCAGGCAATGCTACTTTTCACTTATGGAAAGTACTGATCCATGTTCAATATTATATGTGCTTGTTACAAGGAAGCATCTTACTGTTTCCTGAAAATACACAAAAATGTTGCCTGATAGGCCTGATACCTTATACTATTGTAATAGATGACTGACAGCCAATTTTTGGAGGCATACAGATTTGAGTAAGAAGACTAAATGAAGATGCCATTACAATAGAATATATAAGAATATTCCAACCAGTGGTCAGATGGATTTAAGGATTGAAGCGAGGCCAAGGCACCCCTGGAACAGAGGTTGAGCCTTCCCTCCTCAGGGAGACCAGCGCTCCCTCTGGGACCTCAACCACGGCAGAGCAGGGCAGGGCAGATCAGATGCTGCCCCGGGACACCCACCCATCCAGCTCAGTGCTTCATAGTCTCACTCAGAGCTGGGCTGGCCCAGGAGCCCAGAGAGCCTTTTGTGTATGTATTATATATTTGGATTTATATAACATAGGTGGGAACCCATGTTATAGGATATACTCTGAGGAGTTGGGGGAAAGCCTTGTTTCCCCAAAATATAGTCCCTGTGTGGGAGCAGCACAGAAAGGCTTCTCCAGTGATGGCCAAGGGTTCACTTCCCCTCCATGTTTTACCCTCCCCACACTTGCAACAAGACCCAACCGTGCAGCCTCCTGCAGGCATTGAGAGATATGTCTTGGGAGTGTGCACCATCTCACTGTAATATTGTTCTAGATATTAGGGAAAAGAAAAAAACGTGAAGAGATGCCACTATCCATCATAAAACACAGGGGGGTGGTTGGAGATTTAAAATATACTCTTATTATTCTCCAGTCTAAATACTCGTGGCCTTTGATTCTCATCATGTGGTATTTATAAAGCTTTAGAGCTCCTCCTTGCACAGATCCTCCTCCCAAGGAGGCAGCACACCTTCTTGTGGCTAAAATGTGCCAGATGCCTGAATCCTTTCATAACAGTAATATGAGAAGAGGTAAGTTACATACTGTTACCTCAGTGAGCAGGTCAAATTCAGCAAATAATATTTAAGTACATTGAAATGCTAAACCTAGTTAGCAAAAGTACACATTATATAACCGCCGTGGAACCCTACTTTGATCCTGCCATCAGACTTTGTTTAAAAGATAAATGAAGAAAAACATAAAAATATTCCTTGTTGCCCAGTTACAAGAGAAAAGGAAAATAATGATGACAACAATAATTAATTAATATAACTCACAAAACAACAGTTATCAAGTACATACGAGGTGCTAGGATCTATGCTAAGTATTCAAAATGTTCTCCTAACAACAGTTGATAGCAGGAAAAACAGATGGGTTCAGAGATACACACACGACGTGGAGAACAATGGCTTGTCTCTCTGGAGGAAAGATGGCACCTCCCTGCATCACGGAGGCCTCCTGTGAAGAGAGGCGAGAAGACGAAAAGGAGAAAGGTGCAGCGTCTCTCCAAACATGTGCCACCGACAAAATCTCAAGCCCAGACTTCCTCACCCTGACCTGTGGCACCACGCTTGACAGCAGTGCTTTCCAGGTTAGGTGTTCTGCTCATGGCTTGCAAAGGATCACCTTCACTAGTACTCTCCTTTAGCTTGTTCATATTTTTCATTCAGCTGAGTCACTTGTTTTTTAAGTTGAATAAAATTGTTAAGAATTTTTATGTAGCTACATAAATAGAAAATCAGTATCAATTCTGCAGGTGTCTGCCCTGAGAAACTCCTCAAGGTGTGTGTCTTCCAGGCTTCCGTGACTGCTGTGAGGCGGGCAACGCCAAGACTTGACTTGAGGATAGGTGTTATAGCTGAAGAGGCAATGACTTCTACGAGTTTGTATAAAAATTAAAATACAGACGTGATACCTTCATGACTAGTGGAAAAACAATTTGAATTTTGCTGATGGAAAGAACACTTGAGATTGTCTATCCTTCCCCCACTTTGTGATACAAATGACCTATAAAGGTTCCCTAGGATTCCGGTCACAGCAGGAAGCTCACAGGATCTGGCTTATTAAACCGTGCAAGAGTTTCCTCACGTCAAGGGTTTATCCAAGCAAGAACATATGGGAGGTTGGTAGAGTTGAGAAAGCCAAATGCAGAACGGAACAAGACTCTTGGGTTCATAGGGACTCAGCCGTGTGGTCCTCACCAAGTGACCCTGACATCCTGAAGACCAGCTTTTATTTCCAGAATGCCAGACCCAGCATGCTGGCTTCACTCTAAGGCAGAGGCTCAAGGACTGCAAGGGATCACAAGTTCATTAGGCTTTGATCGTTAGATAGTGCTCCTGTTTTTGTTTTATCTTGTTCATTAGAGAAAAATTACAGAGAAACATGAGTTTTTTTTTTTTAAATCAGCCATAAGTTCAATATCAGATAGCTATTGTTGATATCCGATTAATCTCTCTCTAGGCATTTTCCTATGTACACATGAAACCTCCATATAAACATAACACTACACATACTGTTTTTTAAATCTTTTCCCCCACTTAATAATATACAGTTTTCCCTATGGAAGTATTTACAGCTAACCAACTACCCATCCAGGGGAGACTGTTGCTGAGGAAAGATTGACTCCCACCTATTTCTGTAGCCACAAAATCTCAGTAGGATAAAAGAGATTGTGGGTGGGCACCTAAAATCTTGCCTCACTGGCATTCGGTACTCTGTGTGTTTCCTTCTTTCCTGTTTTTATCTTCTTTCTTGGAGACTTTACACTCTTTTAGTGCTAGCCATGTTTTCTCTCTCAGTCTCTCTCTCTCCTACCATGTGCTGTGTTTCTTCTGTTTATTGTTAATACGGTTGCACTACAGCTTTACACTGTCTAGACTTGAGTTAAAAACAGATTATGTTCCCCACAATTATACATTCCACACTGATGAAAGGATCTCGGGCAAGGAAGAAGAGCAGTTAAATAAGCTAACAAAGGGTTGGGTAGTCAGAGAGGAGGACGGTCTCCTTGGCGGTTCTGTCAGAGCAACAAGGCAAGACTGCACCTAGATGCTGGAATGGAAACCAGAGACCTGACGGGTAGCCAAGGATTGTGTCCGCCCAGGCCAGGGATCACACCCTCCGTGAACAGGGAACAAGGGCTGAATTCTAGAAACACACATGGTGAGAGCCCTTCCCAGAGTTTTCACGAAAGGCTAGGACCTTGTTTCTAAGAAATAAAGGGACCACAAAGGCTGTCAAGAGGTTTGGGGGAGCTAGATGCTGATACAGAACATAATACCAGATTTCTGTCACAGGTTTTTAAGGTAATGTATATATACATATACACATGAGAAGATCAAAATCATCTGCAAACTTACCATTTATGTTCTTTTAGGCAGGTACCTCTCCTCCCCCCAACACATCCCCACACAATCTACCATCAGGGCAAATGTGTAAGTGATCCCAATAAATATACAATAAATGGGCGAAGCTCAGCTATTAAAATAATTACTTCTTGCTATAGTTTTTACAAGACTCACTAAAACATAACAAAAAGGTTGACAGTGGGGAAAATAAATGCAGGCAAATGCTAACCAAAAAGAAAAAAAAATATGGTATTAATATTAGATAAAAGGAACTTTATAGAATGTAAAATGTAATTTTTTGTTTGTCAAATTTTACAGCTTATCTGATAAAACTATCTTTTTTTGGTTTCCTTTTTAAATATCTGGAAAGACATTCTAAATATGTATAATGATAAAACACCCACTCCTGGCCTTGATGTGACAGTGCCACACACTGTAATCATTTGCATGACATAATGAAAAAATGTTAACTCCTTGTTTGAACTCTTGTTTATCTGAGTACTAAAAGCCAAGTTATATGAGGTCAGAGGAGTTATTTTTGTTCCCCAATACTATGTTTGAAAGTAAAATGCTTTGGCAATGTGTGAAAGCCATGACCAACTTCTATCTAAGCTCTCCTTAACCCACAGAACAAACGCACCTCTTGACCTGCAATTATTATAGGTTCTATGTTAAGATCTTGCTCTCAGTGGTTCCTAATATCCATGTATTATAATTATCCTGTTAAATCAGACATTATTGAGGCTACAAGGCTCCCACATGGCTACCAGAATAGACGACTCTGTCAACCTTTAGTGTCAATATACTGCAAAAGGCCAAATCCCTTACTCTCAGTTCCCAGTTGGCAATTCATAATTCTCAGCCCTTGAATAATAGACTTGTCACCATTGTTAAGAAAATGGTAGAAGGAAACCATATGAAACTCATACTATCTGGAGAGAGGAAAAATGCCAGTTATTGTTTAATATTACACAGAATTGCCAAAACCAAACCAAAACAAACAAAAAAACCCAGTTAACAAATTTTAACCAAAAAATACTGAATCCAAGTGAACAGTTTAGCTTCTGTTGTTAAAAAAAACCTAAAGTTGGTATTCTATTTCACAAGGCAGAAAATAAAACTGAAAAACTGGGACACAAAAGATAGTTCTTAAATTTCCTTCAACATATATCAGTATGCATGAAAAACAGTAAGAATCTTCATGGGCTCCTTAAAAATCAAGTACCTAATATGATACCATGACCTACAATCATAGCTTAGAAAAAGACAAATATAGAGACTCATTTCTAAAGATTTGAAATACTTTAAGGATATACATTTAATTCCACAGCCATTGTGTTAAATCTGGCAGGATTTAGCCTACTCTACACATAAAGGGGAGCAAAAGGTTATGTGTCACAGTCAAGATTATATAATTGTTCAATCTTTTAACCTAAGTAAGAGTTCTAATTCACTGAAATGATAAAATCACATATAGCAGAAGTGTCCAAACTTTTCCTTAAAGGGCCAGAGAGTAAATATTTTAGGTTTGTGGGCCACATGGTCTCTGTTACAACTACTCAACTCTACCATTGTAGAATGAAAGCAGTCATAGACAATAGGTAATGAATGAACATGGCTGTGTTCCAATAAAACTTTATTTATAAAATCAGGTGGCCAGCCACCAAGCAGTAGTTTGCTGATCCCTGACATACAGAATCACTTTCAGGCTTAGAAAATCTTTGATCTGTAGGGAGATTATGACAATGGGAAAATAAGATCAAGTAAAAACATAAGCCCTTTGGGCTTTGATAAAGGGATTCATCACTAATCTAAGAAAATAGGCCTTTGAGACAGTACAGGTCCTGGTTCAATTTATGCCCTTCTACACAAAGACACATTTCCACTGGGGACCCCATGTGAGAGTAGAAGTGTGGCTTAAGAAGAAAAGTGAAATTATAAAAGTAATTTATAAGTGTTTATTTTCCTACTGTTTAGAAGGTACATTTTTACTCTTAAAACAAACAAAATAAACGCTCTGCAAAGATAATCACAAAGGGTATATTTAAGATAACTTACCCATATCTTGCCAGAAATGCTGAAAAGACCAGCCATACCAGACATCCTAAAAAAATGAAGACAAGGGGAACCACTGGTGATGCATACTATGGAAAAACAAAACAAAACAAAACTCTAGTAACAAGGCTCTGCCCTCCCACTTTTTGTGATGCATTGTCTCTCTGCTGGATTCCCTCGCGTTCATACAGAGCTTCAAGTCCACAGCCATCATTTCAGCCTCTGCTGTAATACTTTCATATCCCCTGACCCGTTTCTCCCTCCATTGTACACACCTGGCAAAACCTCAACCTCGGGCGGCTGCACGTCTCCGGGGAGAAATCAGATGACCAGCGGACTGTCCTCCTTCAGTCACAAAGCTCAGTGGGCACTCAGTGCTGCATTTTTTAGGCTCTATGAGAGGCCAGCTCGTGTCCTTTGCTCTCTCTTCACACCGTTCCACACCCTCCCTTCCCCAGGCACTCTCAGCTAACAAACCCTCCTCGAATGTCACTGCGAAATCAGAAGCCGCTGTGTGATCTCTCGTCTCCCCACCAGCAAATCTGAGCCTGGTGTCCACTTGCATGCCCCTTCTCCTGTTACGACAGAGGAAGGCTGTCTGCCCGAGCCGTCCACTTGTACCTAGGAGCCGGTCCTTGTGGCCTGTGAGTGACTTGGCTCTTTCTACCGTCCCCCTTCCTGCATTAGCAATTTCTCCCTTTCTGCTGAATCATTTTCATCGGCATGGAAACATGTTCCACCTTCTCTCATCTTTCAAAAGGAGCGTCCTTGGACCGCACCTTGCTCCCTGGCTTCACAAACCTCTCCAGAGCACTTGCTGTTTCCTCTTCCTTACCGCACCTCTCACCCGTTCAGACCCGCTTCTGTCCTCACTACCGCACTGTCACTACGTGTCACAGCCACATGGGCCTCGCCTTGCTTCCCGCAACATCCATGTCTCGGACTTGATCTCCCTTCACCCCTTGGTAACTCATATGGGGCACAAGTGCCAAGGTGGCTCTTAGGAGAAGAGGCCGAGGAGGGCAAGGAAGGATGAGGTGAGAGAAGGCTGTTGCAGTTAGTGCCTGGCCTCCGAACGCTGCTAGTGCACAGCAGGGTGGCAGCGTGGCAGCAGGGGGTGGAAAGAACGGGTGGGTTTAAAATGTGTTTTGAAGGTAGACCTGGCTCTAAGGTGAAGGAGAGGGACGCGTCACACGGACTCTCACCTGGAACAGCCTTCTAAGTGCCTGGCCTCATGCACTCGTGCCCTCTCAGCCTCTTCTCCTCAGACCCCCCCGTCACCGCATGCAGGGAACATCCAGTCCCTCACTGCGGGCAGCGGCTGGCATGGTCGGCTCCTTCCTGCTCCACGCTCGTGTCACTCTCCCTGACTTTCGCTGTCTTGACCCCGGCCACCTTTCTGCTCCTCAGCGCACCAAGGTCCTTCGAGTTGGGCCCTATGTGCATGTGACACCCATCCCGGGGAATACTCCGCCCCCGGCTCTTCACCTGGCTTGGCGGTTCTATGTATCGCACAGTCCTCCCCTCAGAGCTGCCTCTCCGAGTCCTTCATCCAATGGAGGTCCACGCCCCCTGTGCTCCTGGTCTTAGTAAAGGATTTTTCTGCTTGTTTGTTTTTGAAACAGCCCTTATCCAGACTAGGACTCTTTATCCCTAGTTTTTTTCTTAAACTGCCTTACTTTAAGTTCCCTGAGGAGAGCACAGGGACCTGTCTGTCTTGTTCAATTTTGAATTCCTAGCACCTAGAATAGTATCTGGCGTAAAACCAGTACTCAAATATCTGTAGAATGCAAAGCTGTTTTTAGAGGAAGCAATGTGTTTCCTGGGTATTATATAAAGGTTACTAGAGAATTTATTCCTGAATATTACACAATTTGATCCTTTTTGAGCAGGGATATTCTTTACTCTTGCATATACTAACAAAATTAATTAAAAATATGGCAATTCATTCAAAATTAAAACCAGCTGTGGAAAAAGTTATTACGGTTTGGCCTAATCTCCCTCACCAGTCATGCCATCATGGCTGTGACTTCCCAGCACCATTCTGCTAGGCAGTCAAAGGCACCATAGGTTTTATTTTTCACACAAAGTAACGATTCCTTCATGAACTATAATTTAAGAAAAGGTTACTCCCCTATTTTATCAAGAATGCAAAAGGAAGAAAGAATGGTAAATGGTGTTTAATACCCTATTTTGTAAAGATAAAACAGCTGGCGTGGCTTAGTGCAAAAGCGAGGGGAGGGGCTTTCTGTAACCCACCTGGATCTGGACACTTAATTCCCAGGGTGCTAACAACCACCTGATACATGTGGGCCACAAAGCCAGAAACACAGCACGGTCTACGCATGGTCATGTGGAGTCCGGGTAATTAGCGCGAATACGAAGAAACATGTAGATTGTCAAGGTCCGTGGACTGTTTATCTGATACCTCCCATTTTATAATAACACCTTCTCATTTAAAAAAAATAACACCTTACGTTAGAGAAGCCGGGGACTTCCAGCCAGTCAGAGGCTCAACCGCTTGCCACTTCTTCTCTAAGATGTAATTCTGCAGGTCTTCGTAGATTCCTGGGCCACGGTAACGGCGGAATATCCCATCCTTTGCACTACAAATTATGAAAACATAAAAAATAAACCCATCCAAATAATAAATGGGACAGATAATAAAAATCAAAATAACAAATGGTTTTACATGTGAGCTCCCTTCTGAATTTTAACTTGGCTCAAATGAAGAAAAAACATATATAGTTAGGCATAGATCAGAAAGCATGCATAAATATTAATCTATTACAAATGTGAAATTCCAAAACAGAAAGTATTAAACATTCACCACAGTTTGTGACTATAAGCAAAGTTTTTGGCATTGTCTAATCTGCCAAGTTACTTTTTATTACTTTTGTTACCAAAACTTCATTTTTCTTACAACAGCAAAACAGCAGTTGTTAGCAAGTTTTAAAAAATTATATCCACATGTCCGAATTTATTTCAAGTTCCTTCCCTCAAAATGAACAAAACGCCTCCTCTTCTCACGTGCCCCTTCAGTCTTCCCTCGCTCTTGCTTTTTCTCCCCACTGTCAAGCTTCCGAAGGGAAGGAAGAGTCTACGCTTGCCATTTTCTCCTCACAGATTGCTCAGTCATTAGTCATGCAACTTGGTTTCTGTTTCCAGGACACCAGGGCAACTGCTCATATTGGGGGGTCTCAGCAACTCCTACGTGCCATATCCATGGGGCATTTTTCTGCCATTTTTGCTCGTCTGTCATGGTCACTGTTTGCCACGAAACACACCCCTCCCCCTCCTTGCCCTTGGCTTTAAGACAGGCGCTCGCCGGACTTCTTCCTGCTCTTCTGACCACCCCTCTCGGCTCCTTACTCCCTGTCTTAAGGTCGGCCAACCCCAAGTTCTACCCTAGACCTACTTCTCCTCCCATTGTAACATGTTCTCTCTAGATATACTCCGACTGTTGTGTACCTTGATGCTGAGAAATTCCCAATACGTATCTCCAGTCTAGTTCTTTCTTCTGAGCTTTAGATCCTGAAAGCAAACTATCACCCAAACTTCTCTCCTTGGAATTAGCATAGTCACTTCATACTATGTTCTCCTCTGGCCTCTACCTTCCAAACTTCTTATTTTCATGGCTCCTCAGTAGCGTTTACTGGTTATACTTGGCGGGTTGGTAGTCTTCACAGGCTCTCCCTTCCTTCTGGCTAATCAGTCACCAAGTCCCAATGATCCCACCTCTTAGGTATTTCCAGAACTGATTCTGTCTTTTCTCTTTGCCCTCTCGCTGCCTGAGCCTCTCTAGCCCCATCATCAGAATGGGCCAGCCATGCAGAACTAGTTCTAGTTCTCAGAAGGTATCTCATTTTCTCTTGGGCTTTTCCATGATATATCCTCTATCTGGAAAGGTCTTCTCCACCTTGTTTACTTAGCCATTTCCTACTTATCTATTATGAATCATCCCACCTTTTATGTCATCAGAAAAAAATCGCTGACCCCTCCCCCTGACTGAAATTAGGTTCTTTTCCCTGCAGCACTCTGGGCATCCCGCTCTTCTAACTATCATTCTGTGCAGACCAATCTTTCTCCCTTCAAATGTTAAGCTGAATGAATGACGGTTACGGAAAACAACTTAGAATTCCTGGTATATGTCTAGTGATTTCTAAGATTTGCAAGACCAGAAAATTATTTCAACTTACTGAAAAAATGCTGGGAGAGTGGTAACAAAGAAGCGGCCACTCAAACCTACAAGAAGACAAACAAAAAAAGTTACAAGTCGAACTCAGACAAACCTAAGCACCTACCACAAGTTATAAGAGAACAGGCAGCCCGGAGCTTGCTTTTATAACCACATTATTAAATCAGACATACTATTTATTTTTCTGATTTAAAGAAATTTTATTTTTACCCGTTTTCATTTACCTAACACTTTCTGGTCACTGACATACAACTCGCTTATTTCTGATGTATTACACTGAAGTTTTCTGTCTTGTGCATGACTTGGAATTATATGGTGGCTGAAAGGATAAGTTTTAGAGTTATGCAACCTGGGTTAAATACTAAATTCTCCAATTACTAGCTTTATGACCTAAGATAAATTTCTTAACCTTTCTGAGTCTCAGTTACCTCATCTATTAAATGGGTATATTAAAGCCTAATGGAATTGTTCTGAAGTTAGATTAGATCAGTATGTGAAGTGCTTAGCATGTAACAAAGGACTCAATAAATTATAAGTATTATTATATCAGCTATGTGTTTAAAAATAACAATAAAGAATATGAAATAATAAGATCATTTGTAATCTTTGTATAATACATTTACAAAATCTGCAAGTACTGTCAAGGGACTCTAGGTACATTAAACAGCAGATTTTTTTCAATTTGTCTTAGCAAACCTTTACTGAATACTAACCACATATCAAATGTTATGTGAGGTACACGTGAAGACAAAGACAAATAAAACCCTTAGTCACTCAGCAAATATTTACTAAGTAACTTCTTTGTTCCAGGGAGACTGCTCAAGACACAGAGATAAGCCAAAACATGTATAGTCTTTGTTCTTACAGAGCTTACAGTCTAGTGTCAGAGGGAAAGAACTTAATACTCACTCATGACTATAAACAGAGATAGATGATAACAAAAGGGGCATGTGGCAAAACCCCGAATGAGACTAGGAGTAAAAAACAGAGCCCTGCTCTTCAAACGTTTACAATAATTTTTATACGTGTACCAAGAGTTAGGAAGCCTGGTTCTGGCAAAGCGTAGGAAAGTTAAAGGATCCTCCCAGCCAGCATGGGAAAATGACAGACAGACATATCATTTTCACATTTCTTACCACTTCTGCCTTTCCCACTGAAGAACAATCTGGACAAAATCAAATACCTATTCAAATAAAGTAGCTCAAATTTTACACCTCTGTGGTCACTTGCAATTTGAAATGCTGAAGGTTACTTTTAATAAGCTGCAACATTTGCTTATACCCATTTTACAAATTTAATCTGTATTCAACATAATAATTTATTGATTAATGAAGAGCCTTCCCAAAGAAGAATTCTCTATTTTTTCTCATATCAAACCAAGTAAACTAAAATAGTCCTATGACACTTAAAAGAAAACAGTATTCCGAGGCAGTAAAAATCAAGGTTATAAAAAGAAACATTTACTACATACATTCATCACTGTACCTTAAAAACAAAACAAAACAAAACAACACAAGTGACCTGAGAAGTCAACTGAGGATGAACAAGCATCTCTGTGTAGAGGGCATTCTCACCTCTAACACTGCTTGGAATTCCACCCTAGCAGGGAACAAAGGTTATTTTTTTAGTATATTTCCAACTTTAAATTGCCAGGACAAAAGTATTCGTAATCCTAAGGGCTTAAAAATTATTATACGCTTTTGTTTAAAATAATCATTATTAACAATTTCATATCTCACTTCTTTACTGTCACGTTATCTCAAGGAAGTGACAAATGTTATGGAACCATGTTTTATTTACAGAGTATTTTAAAATGCAACGAACAAATAGCATCCCATCATCTCTTTAAGTTTCTATTTAGGTTATATTTTTATCAGAATACACAGAGTTTCTAATAAATGTTAGTTATCACTGAAGACAATATTTTTAACTTGTTCTTTGAAATCGTTCATATGTTCTTGGTCATCATTGGCCATGTCAATAAATTAAAAACTAAACAATACATATAAAAATATTTCATAGGGCCGGCCAAGTGGCTCAGTTGGTTAAAAGCTCGCTCAAGAGTGCGAGCTCTGAGCAACAGCAGTTTGAGTCCTGGCCCAAGCTGAGCTGCTGCTGAGCTGCGAACAGGTGGCAGGATGGCTCAGCTATAAATAAAAATAAAAAAAAAAAAAATCATAAAACACATTAAATTATATAATATGGAAAACAGTATTTCCAGATCCACAGACCATTTTGGCTGGGGTCAAACCCCACTTCTGCCTCTTAGACTTTAGTCTGGGACATTAATTTCAAATTCTCTGGGCTTCAGTTTTCTTCTTACAAATGGACATCATTTGTATCTCAATTTTAGTATTAAATAATTTTATATTTACAAAATAGAAAACAGTATCTAACATATAATAAGTACTAAATGAATGCTAGCTATTGTTTTCTATATTTACATCTATGATTCAAAGTTAGAATAAAGTGAGAGGATGTAATAAACACACTAATTTAGTATTAAGTGCTTTGGAAATTGTACATTTTGGATAACATATCTTTACTAATAAGTACACCCATGAAAATCAATGAATACAGAGATAAGAAAACAGAAACAGAGTGGCAGATGGTTTGAGATTTTCCTGCACTTTTCTGGTTCAGGCTAGAAGGTATAACAGGATGCTTGTTCCCAAAATTGCTAGGTTAAAGAATGTAAAGACTTTATGGCTCTTGATATGAATTGCTATGTTGTTTTCTATAATGATTGTACCAATACGCAAACCATCAGTTAAGGTTCATTTAAAATAATGACCATTATTAATAAATGATTACATCAAGGCTGCTTTTATTTATATTTGTCAATATTTCTTCAAATGACAACCCATGTGGAATGTTAATAATAAGGTTCCAGCATCTAACTCAGATATAGGTTCGGTTTGTTGTCCGGAATAAAATAATGTCACTGAGGATGTATTTAGTAAAATTAACAACAAAATCAAGAGCAACCAAAATTGTCCTTAGATTATGACAACTACTAAGCCCTTGAAGATTCAATGCCACAGAAAATTCATCTCAAATAAATGTCACTTCTGAGAGGTTGAAAGACGTCAGAAATCTCTGTGTCTCATATCAGTGCTCAAAAAATGTCTTCTAACCTTTAACACTGATGCTATGAAATGTCAAGGGAGACATTAATTACCTGAAAAGTTAAAACATGACCAACTCAGAACAGAGAAGCACCATCTTAGGTCGTGGCTTCAGGGTTCAAAAACAAGTGTGGATCTTAACAAAGAAGTATAACAGCACAGCAGGCAACTCATTCAAGGTTTGCATAATGGTTCACAGAAAGTGTGGAAGACATAAGTGCAATCTTAACCTTTAAGTAAGAGAGAGAAAGTTTGACCACAAGATCTCCCAAAATTTCTACATGCCTTTTTTACTTTGCGGGTAACTTCCACTTTAAACTGAAGACTGTATTGCAATATAAAAGGGACATTAACCAAAATGCAGAAAAAAAAAACCGAATTTCTTATTAGCAAGCTTATCTTACACATATATTGCAAAAGAAAAAGAAGAATTAAAAGATTTGAGAAAGAAAAATTATGACAGGGAACTATATTTTGATATGCAAACACGATAAAATTATCTAAGTTCAATATTAAGATAAATGGGGATAGCAACTAGCTTTGGTTCTACCATTTATTAGCTGTGTCACCTTGGGTATGTAACTTAACCTTTCTAAGCCTCAGTTTTCTCAGTAATATAGAGAGAAACAGTTTGTTCTTCTTAGGGTGTTATGAAGTTAAAATGTATGTAAGTGGCTAACATAATTAGAGGCTGAAGTAAATGCTTAACTAAATGTTAGTTATTACCTAAGAGAGCAGAAGAAAAACAATGAATAAGATATCGAGATCGAAATAAAATTGTCAATATAATAGAATACAAATGCTAATTTTTATAATCATAAAATTAAAATATTAACACTAACTGAAATACAGTCAAATGCACTGGCTTGTGCAATAAATTAGGTTTTAAACACAAAGCTTATGCTGCGCCCTGGTAGGGGTCTGGCTCACTTCTAATCTAGTGAAATAGCCCATGGGTGAGCTATGAGCAGCTCCTATTTTCCTGTCCTTGACAACTAAGCTTATCTGCATGAAACAGAAGATTCAAGTACACACATATTAAACTTAATTTCCCCAAGTCAATTAAACTGAAACATCACCTGGTCTATGCGGTATTAAACAAGGAGTGCAATGTTATCTAATCTAAGAACTGTCCTTTCCTTGACTTCTACATCTCAGCTATAAAAATGCAAGGTGTTATAATCGCCATTCTTTATAATTCTGAAATGCTATTTAGGTTTAAAATACCTTAAACAATCCCTAATTATTATAAATATACCAATGGAATAGTTACAGGTATGCTGAAAGAATTATGCATGAACACTTCAAAAATTCTTGCTTTCCCTTCTCTTTAAATTTTACTTGCAGGGGAAAGATGAAATCATCCCTTATTAGCACTCCTGATGGAAGAATATACTAATGGAGATCTGTAACCAAATCTGTATACAGAAATATCCAGTAAGTGCTCTAGTGTGAGGGAAAACAGTATCATTTCCATGGTTTCCTATTGCTCGTTCAGGATGTTAGATTTTGTACAAATGCATACTCGATCAGCTGCCAAGAATAGAGACAGGGCACCCTGGGGGCTTGCCAGAGAGTTGCAACCACATAAGACACTCTCTCTTCTTCTAGCTTCCAGGACCCCCACTTCTCAATCTCCCTTCAACCTCATGGCTTCTACTTCTCTTCTGCTCGAGCTTCTTTTCTCCTAGGCCTTGGAGTCCCCTGGTTCTCAGTCCTCAAAACACTTCTCTGGCACACACCCCCTAGGTCATTTCGATTCTTCCCCTCATTTCAAATACCATCTACACTGAGGATCCTCAAATGTACGTCTCTAGCTCATCTCTATTTGGGTTTCTATTAAACATCTCGAAACCAATCCCTGTCCCCAAGCTGCTCCTCCTTCAGTCTTCTCCATCTTCTCTCTTTCCACCAAATGCTACAGTAACCAATATACCAGAAAATCCTTTTGGATACTCCAGTCAAATGTACTGTCTCACATTCATTTACCACAGCTGTTACTACCAGTCCAAGCTACCAGCTTCTCCACTCTGGACCACTGCATTAACCTCTTCTCTTGCTTCCACTTCTGACCTACAGATAATTTTTATCTAGCAGCCAAAGGAATTCTTTTAAAACATAAATCATATCATGTTATTCTCCTGCTCATAACCTTCCAGTTGTTTCCTTGCAATCATACTTAGTATGAAATCTAAACTTCTTGCCATGGCCAACAAGACCCTGCATGATCTGGTCCTTTGCTACCTCTCCAGCCCATTTATCTTGAGTACCCACTGGCTGCCATATTGTTCCTCAAATAAGCCAAGTACACCCCCATCCGCACATGCTATTTGCTCTGCCTGGAATGCTCCTTACTGAAAGTTTGTTGAAATTCACTTCCTTAATCTGTCAAGACTTCTGGTCAAACAGTCTTTCCCGATCATCACATTTAAAATAGTGGCTCACAATATTTTCTACATTTTCACCCTGCTTTCTTTTTCTTTATAGCCCTTGTTACCATTAGACATTACTTCCCATTTTACTTTTGTTACTGTCTATCTCCTTCACTACAATGTAAGCTCACTGAGTGGCCAAGTCTTCCCCTTCCTTATTCACCTGTACCATTGTTCACCTGTATCATTCACCTGTATCACTGATATCCAAAACAGGGCCTGTGCATGGTAGAAACTCAAATATTGTTGAATAAACACATTAACTGAAAGCATTAGGATTGCAATTTAAACTTATAAACATAAAATAGTATAATCTGAAATGAAATATTCTCTAGGCCACACAAACAATCATGGATGTAGAATTTTGCCTCCGAATTTTTATTTGTGAGTTATAAAGTTCCTATCATTTAAAACAATTCCTAGAGCCTCTACTTTAAAAAAATTGGTCTAATACATCAAATAATTAATCACTTTCCCTTTTTAGACTTTTTTCTTGACTATTCTTATAGAATACTAGATCAAAGACCTTTTATTCCTTCTTTGATAAATATTTCAAATATATATAATTTTCAAATAAATGCTATGAGTCAATGATGAATTTGTTTCTAAAATATTTTATCATAACCAATTTCTCTCTTACTTCATTATCAAAAGATAATCCATTCACAATGGAAAAATAACTATAAGTTTACATTTTAGATGAGAAGACTATATTCAATTAGACTTTAGATTTGTGAATCCCTCACAAAGCTGTTTAATTCTGTTAATCCAAATTATGCTGTGAGTTCATGGCAGGTACGCCAAATGGCTGAAATGTGAATAGGTCAGCTGCATTTCCAAGAAACTCCTCATAAAATGTGTCTGGTGCGCACTAATTAACAAGGCTTACTTACACCTGATTTCATCGGATTCAAGCCTCTAAAAGATGAAAACAAGTTTACAGCCAAGATGTAATTGCACTGACTTGCCCTCCAAACTGAATAACTCATTTTAAAAGCCAAAACCATGAATTAGTAACTTTAATTTTCCATCTCTAAAGAGTTGATGAGCAGAAGAGGCTTTGATTCAAATGCTTAAAAGGTAGAAGCTTGAAGACGAATTGCTTTTAATAGAAATCTCTCTCCATGGGTTTGTCAACACATTGATCTTAACAGATACCGTCAATTTAGTTGCCCAAGTAATTGATAATTCAGTACTTTGTCTTTTTTGAATTCGGTTATTACAGAAAGGTAATAGCTACATTTCCATACCTACCTTCTTTTTTTTTCCTTGTAAAGGAATAAAATTGACACAAACAGAATGTAAATTGGAAAAAAAAATGCCTAATAAAGTTGAGAATAGTCAAATTTGAGATTTGAATCATAAAAGTCGAACTTTTCTTCTCAATTCATATATAACAGTTATTTTTAAACTATAAATACAAATTGTATACATCTTTTCCTCTGTCTCCCTCTGTCTCTTGAAAACTTACATCATTAACAGCTGTTACATGTAGACGGAACAACAGAATTAGAAATTCATCATTCTGGAACCTACAATGAAATATTCAATTCAGGTAAGATCATGTATCTTAAAACCCCAAAGTATCATCCCACAGATTATTTGATCATCACGAAGTGGGATCTTTTCTTCATAATTGAGATGTTTAGTGTCATCACCTTATCCAAGTGCTCAAGTTCAACATCACTAATGGTGACAGTATGTGTCTTCTGATGGGGTAAAATATAAAGTCACAGCATCACCTATGAAGCACTCATGCCATAAATGTCCAACCCGAATCATGCCTCTAGGCTAAGCTTCAAGTTTATAGACATTGAAGAAAAAACAACTTAAATGTCACAATAAGGAAATACCTAGCCAACTCTCTGGCCTGCTCTCTTCAGAATATCTATGTCATGAAAAAAATGGGGGGACTATTCTAGATTGAGGGTGATTAAATACACATAACAACCAAATGCAAATAGTGAACCTAGATTAGATCCTGGTTTACAAAACTATAAAAAGATATGTGGAAAATAATGAGTGAGATTTTAATACGCCAAAGTATTGAAGGGTAAAGTATCATGTCTGCAACTTATTTTCAAATGACTGAGCAAAACAAAAATAAAAATATAAACATATATACTCATTTGTATGTATAAACACATACATACATGGCGAGTCCCAGATAAGCCAAAATGATATCTCTTGATTCTGGGTGTCAGTTCAAGGGTGTCAGTATTCTCATTTTCAACTTTTTTATAAGCTTGAAAAAAATTCAAAATAAAAAGGAACAACCTTTTGTATTTCATGTTCAACATTTACAGTACCTGGTTCTTGAATGACATCTACCTTCCCCACACTGATATGAAGTATTTCACCATTCTTTGCAAATGTCTCCCATTCTGAGTCAGTCTGTTGGCAGGATGGGCACCAAGGGGCATAACTGTAAAAGAAGAATAGCTAATCAACATAGACATATGAAAAATATCTGTGAAACAAAATAAATAGAATATTTAAATTAAAAAATAAATCCTTAACTAAAGAAAAGCACAAAAGCAAGTTTTTACAAAATCATTTGATATGGAAAAACAGAAGCATCTCCCCATCTCTTCTGACTCCCCTACCCCCACCCCCAGAATTTAATACATGAATATTAGTTCCCTGGGGAAAAAATTAGCCAAAGTTTAAGATTTTCACAAACTATTGTAATACATAGACTACTTTATGTCAAAGTCATTCTTATAATCAACCCAAATTATGTCATTTTCTAAGTTGCTTTTTGATTTTTGATGGAAAACACTGGTTTGACTATCCCATTGAAGGAGGGTAATTTTCACAAGGGGTCCCCCAACGAGCCAAACCAGTTTCAGATCCATCAAAGTTAGAGATCTGATGAGCAGAGACCAGAAGATGTTGCTAGTGAGTCCACAACAATGTGAGTCATTTCCAAAGATCTGTGGCAGTTCTGAACCAGAGCAAGGAAAAAAGTAGAAGCTATGCACTCAACCAGCTCTACCAAACACTCCCCTCAATAGGAGTTAAAAATAACGAGTCTTCAACCAGAACCCTGGTTTTTACATTTATCTTTTCATTCAATAAACATGAACGGAGAACCATGCTAGCAGCTGAGGTTATAACTGTGAACAGGGAAGACGTGGCACCTCCTCTCCTTGTGGATACAATCCAGACATGAACATTGGTAAGCACAGTAATGATTACAATCCAGGCGGCAAATGCCCGTGCCTGAGAATGTGGAGTAATGCTCTGCAGACACTCAGGAGCGAGGTGAGCTCAGAAGGGCCCACAGAGAAAAAGTCATTTATGCTAAGAGCTAAAATACAAGTGACAACCAGAGAGGGGTCAAAGAACATTCTAGCAGAGAGATCAGTGTATGTAAAGGCTCTGAGTACTGAGAGAGGAAAGCGAAGACATCATCCACAGCCCTTTAAAGGTTGTGCGAGGAGTTAGGCCTTCATGTGAAATTCCTTGGTAAACCCTAATGAGGTAAGAGAATTCTGACCAGGTTTACATTTTCAAAAAATCCCCTGGCAGCTCTGTTACGATCAGGAAAGGACACGATGGAAGCAAAGAAAAGCTGGATGGCTGGGCCGTGCTCCTGACAATATCCTAGGGACCTCCCACAGTCCTGGAAAATTACACAATACTCAGACTTAAAGCTCTGAAGTGGGCCAGAATTTCACCTGCAGATGGTAAAATGGAAATCCAGGGAAGTTCGTTGTTTAGAAAGCACAGTGGATCGCATAGTATTCTCTAAAAAGATACATTCAAGGCCCAAGCCTCAGTACCTGTGAATGTGTCCTTATTTGGAACAAGGGTCCTTACACATGTAATTAAATGACGGGTCTAGGGATGAGATCATCCTGAATTTAGGTTAGGCCATAAATCCAGTGACTGGTGTTCTTATAATATAAGAGAAAGAAGATGGAGATTTGACACAGAGACACAGGGGGAGGCCATGTGAAGATGGAGGCAGAGATTAGTGTCAGGCAGCTACAAGCCAAGGAATGCCACGGATTGCCAGGAGCCATGAGAAGCTAGAAAGGCAGGGACTGGATCCTCTCATGAGCCTCCAGAGGAAACCATCGATGCCAACATGTTGATTTTGGATTTTTCGTTGCCAGAATTATGAGAGAATAAATTTCTGTTGTTTTAAGCTACTAAGTCTGTGGTAATTTGCAGTACCCCGAAAAAACTAATATGGAAAGGAAGATATCATTTGAAATTAGAAGGAATTGAGATCAGATATTCCTTATGAAGACTTAAAGAGCTAGTAGGGCTATGCTTAATATAAATTATGAACAAACGAAACATTGGCTGGAAATCCATTTTAAAATACTAACATATGACACAATTAAAAGGAAAATTAAAGTTTACAGAATAATGTCACAAAAACACACGAGTACAACTGGAGAGATATTTTGTTTCTCTTAATAACACGCAGAAGAAAAAAGCAGTAAATAAAAGAAGGTAATCAATGCTCACAAAATAGAAAAGGATACTCCAGGGAAAAAAAAAATCCTTGGGGGCTTTGAATACTATTTCATGATGTCACCAACTAGACATTATATTTTTTAAATTTGCTTAAATCATTCTTTAAAAAATCTTTAACTTAAGTCAAAATATTGAGGAATACGTGCAATAGATATTTTTTAAAAAGACTTGATATCACTGAATTGTTTATGTACAATGGGTGAATGTTATCACATGTAAATTACACCACCAAGGAGTAGAGAACAGGATATATAGATGAACCAAGATTGGCAATACTTATATTGATAACTATTGAAACTGGATGATGGATGATGGGGGTTCACTACACGACTCCTCCTATGTTTTGTGGATGTTTGAAAATTTTCATAAGAAATCGTTTTGGTTTTTTTTCTGGGCTGGCCGAGTGGCTCATTGGTTAAGAGCTGGCTTGGGATGCCAGAGGGCCCTGGTTCAGATCCCACATATGAGGGCCAGTGACACTGCCCTCTGCAGCTAAGATGCTGAACAA